GCCCCTCTTTACAGCTCTCCAGGGTCTCAGGTGGAGGTCTTTCCCATCACCTCCTGCCTGGTCCTTTTCAACTGGTGATGCCGGGGATTGAACCTGGGACCTTCTGCATGCCAAGCAGAGGCTTTTCCACTGAGCCACAGTCCCTCCCAAGTGTGCAAATGGATATGAGGAGCTGCTTCATACTGAATCAGACCACTGGTATATCAGTAGCGTTATCGTCTACAGTGACTGGAAGCTGCTTTCCAGGGTCTCAGGCAGAGGACTTTCAGATTATTCACCACCTGAGGAAGTGGTAGGCCACTGTTTGAGACAGGATGCCTGGACTAGCTGGACGACTTCTCTGATCCAGCAGGGCTCTTCTGAGGTTCTTATGAAGGCCACAGCCACTCTGCCCCGTTGTTGGCCCTCCAGAGGAGCTGCCTGGCCACTGTGTGAGACAGAATGCTGGACCAGATGGACCACAGCTCTGATTCAGTAGAAGACAGAGGTGATTGGCCATGGCCTTCCTCCGCAGAGTCTTTCTTGGTGGTCTTCCATCCAAGTACTGACTCTGCTTAGCTTCCAACTTATGGTGACCCCAGCAAGGGGCTTCCAAGGCAAGTGAGAAGCAGAGGTGGTTGGCCATGGCCTTCCTCTGCAGAGCCTTCCTTGGTGGTCTCCCTTCCAAGTACTGACCCTGCTTAGCTTCTGACTTCTGGTCACCCCAGCAAGGGGCTTCCAAGGAAAGTGAGAAGCAGAGGTGGTTGGCCATAGCCTTCCTCTGCAGAGCCTTCCTTGGTGGTCTCCCTTCCAAGTACTGACCCTGCTTAGCTTCTGACTTATGGTGACCCCAGCAAGGGACTTCCAAGGCAAGTGAGAAGCAGAGGTGTTTGGCCATGGCCTTCCTCTGCAGAGCCTTCCTTGGTGGTCTCCCTTCCAAGTACTGACCCTGCTTAGCTTCTGACTTATGGTGACCCCAGCAAGGGACTTCCAAGGCAAGTGAGAAGCAGAGGTGTTTGGCCATGGCCTTCCTCTGCAGAGCCTTCCTTGCTGGTCTCCCTTCCAAGTATGACCCTGCTTAACTTATGAGATCTGGCGAGATCGGGCTATATTGTGCTTCTTTCTAGGGATGCTAACCTCCATGTGGGGCCTGGGGATCCCCCGGAATTCCAGCTGATCTCCAGAGCTCAGTTCCCCTGGAGAAAATGGACGCTTTGGAGGGTGGACTCCGTGGCATTGCTCCCCACTGAGGTTCTCTGTCTGTTGCAGGTTAGGATTTCAACAGCCCATCCACATACAAAAGAACCTCCTCAGGAAACAGGAAACCTCCTCAGGACACGATCCATATGCAAAAGAACCTCCTCAGGAAAGCTCCTCCATTAGCATGTTCATAGCCTGGGGAACTCCTACAAGATAATGACTCAGCCCGACCCTACCTTCCTGAGTAGATATAAATCACCTGCCTACCATTTCTCTTCTCACCTTGACACAGAGAGGACTCCGTCTTTCTGTGTTATACCTCTGAGGATGCCGGTCACAGCTACTGGTGAAACGCCAGGTCCTACAATGCCAAGACCACGGCCACGCAACCCGGAAAATCTACAACAGCTAAAGGAGCCAGTTTGGTGTAGTGGTTAAGTGCGCGGACTCTAATCTGGGAGAACCGGGTTTGATTCCCCACTCCTCCACTTGCACCTGCTGGATGACCTTGGGCAAGCCATAGTTCTGATCAGGGGTCATTTCCTGCAGGAGCACCCAGGAGCGGAGCTCCTGCAGTAAAGAGCCCAGGGGCCGGGCACAGGCAACAAGCCACGCCCCCTGCTCCTTCTCTCCCTCTTTCTTTCCCTCCTTCTTTCCTTCTATTTCTTTCCTTCTTTTTCTTTCTTTCTTTTCCTCCTTTTTCCTTCTTTACTTCTCTCCTTCTTTTCCTCTCTATTTCCGTCTCTCCCTCCTTCTTTTCCTCTCTATTTCCGTCTCTCCCGCCTTCTTTTCCTCTCTATTTCCGTCTCTCCCGCCTTCTTTTCCTCTCTATTTCCGTCTCTCCCGCCTTCTTTTCCTCTCTATTTCCGTCTCTCCCGCCTTCTTTTCCTCTCTATTTCCGTCTCTCCCTCTTTCTTTCTTTCTTTCTTTCTCTCTCTCTCTCTCTCTCTCTCTTTCTCTCTCTCTCTCTCTCTTTCTGCACAGATCTGTGTGAGGGCAGATCTGTGCATCCCCCCCCCCAATAGCTAGCAATCCAAAACAGTCCAGTGGCACCTTTAAGACCAAGTCTTATTCAGGCACAAGCTCTCCCTCCTCTGTGAGTGCAGATCTGAACGTCTCCCCCCCAATAGCTAGCAATCCGAAACAGTCCGGTGGAGCCTGAGCAGTGGTTGTTGCCTTCTAACACACTTCCGGAGATGTCAGGGGGTGTGGCATATGCACAAGTTATGCTAATGAGTTATGCTAATGAGTTATGCTAATGAGCTCCTGTACCTCTTTTTCTACGAAATGACCCCTGGTTCTGATAAGAAAGATAAAGGTTCCAGTCAAAGCCGACTCTAGGGTTGCAGTGCTCATCTCCGTTTCAAAGCCGAAGAGCCAGCGCTGTCCGAAGACATTTCTGTGGTCATGTGGCCGGCATGACTAAACACCAAGGCGCACGGAACGCTGTTCCCTTCCCACCGAAGTGGTACCTATTTATCTACTTGCAATTTCTTGTTTTCGAACTGCTAGGTTGGCAGGAGCTGGAACTAGAGACGGGAGCTCACTCCGTCATGCGGCGCACTCGGGTCTCGAACTGCTGAACGACCGACCTTCCAGAGCCTGCAGTTCAGCGTCTTAACCACTTCAGCCACCGCAGCTCCTTCAAAAAG